CGATAACTTGGTAAAGTAGTCCACACTATTTTCATTTGCAGTTCAATATACAGAATAGATGAGAGAATGAAAGGGAGAGACCTAACTCTAAAGGAAAAAAAAACTTACTATGTGCAGTCAGGATCTCCTCCAGCAGTTCCGAATCAGCACAGACCTGACACATCAACACAGTTCCGATCAGAAGAAGAACGAGCATACGAAGAGAAGCCATTGTAAATCTGTTAGAGTCTATTGCGAACTTTAGTTGATACTTGCTGGTTTGATAGTGACAGAGTTCTGCGTATAGAGAGTATATATAGTCGTAGTASTGGCTTTCATTTCACAGATGGTGACGGCTTGTTTGATTGTTCTATTCAAATTCTATTCACTTGATTACCGCATTTGTTATTAAGTGGCTTTGGATTCATCACTTATTTAGATGGTGTTAATACTGATTAATTAAGAAAGAATTCATTGGGTTTAAATTTCTTTTKGGGACTTTGTGGAATGGCATGAGGGGAAGAGAAAAACAGTGTGTGGGGTTGTTGATTATGTTTTTCTTCTCAACAGTGATCATTACGCCGTGAATGAAGTGCAATGAGATGTGGTTTTCGTCATTTGTATTGAATTTTATTATCATAGTTGTTATTTGAAAAAATATAAGAATAAACAAATGAATGCATGTATCCACGAAGAAGCAGTGACTTCCTAGGATCATTAAATTGCCCCTAATGCCTGATTACAGACCAATTTAGAACAAATCCTCACATTGTCATAAACGAGTTTTTCAAAAAAAAAAATTGTTTCAAACGAATTCCTGATATTTTACGGCACGAAAAAGTTGGCAAAATGTTCGTGTCCACTCACTCTCGAAATTTCAGTATCGCGTTCGAGGAGCCTGAAAAATTGTATAGACTTCGGTCATCGGGGTGATACACCAATTTTTTTGTGGGTCAAGAGTACTGTTTTTAACAGTTTTAAGAGAAAAAAAAAAAAAATGCCGATATATTGAGCTTTTACTTATTGTACGAGTGAATCCAACTTGGAAGATTGCGCAAGTCTTTCACTTTTGGAACGTATCACCCCGATGACGTAATCGCACCAGTCCCTCTTACGCGCGGTCCTTATATGAAAAAGCGCGTTTTCAAAACTCATTTAAAAATCAGGAATGCATCCAATTTTGAAAAAAAAATGGATTTTTGCATTTTCATGAATATATCTTCAACTTACATAAGGTCTGTGATTAGGCATTAGGGGCACTTTAAATGGGGGTTCGAGAAATGGTGCTTCCTGCATCGTTAGGACAAAAATAATTGTAATCAAGTTCATTCTACTGAGCGTAAAGAACAGGATCAGTTTCACAAGAGGGGCTATGGAGCCCTAGCAAAACAAGGGAAATTTTTGAAGGTAGGAAGGTAGGAAGGACGGAAAGAAGGAAGGAGGAAGGAAGAAAGGGAGGGAGGAAGAAAGGAAGCAAATAAGCAAGTAAGCAAAATGATAAACAGATGAATGAATGAATAATTAAATAAATAATTAAATAAGGGTTGGATGAATAAAACAAACGAATGAATGAATACTAAAATGATTGCCAGTTTGAAGGAATGAACAAACGAAGGAGCAAATAACGAAGGAATATATATGAAGGAAAAAAGGACGAAGAATGAACAAATCAACGAAGAAATAAATGAATGAATATATAAATGAATATATAAATTAAAAAAATATTATTTGAATAAACCTACTTACAAGAACGTTGTCATACGAAAATAGAAAATTAGTGATTTAGTGGGATAGGAATTATACAGTCGACTCTCTTTGAACGACCACTCTCGTAAGCGACCATCTCCCGTAAGCAACCACCTTTTGAATTTCCCGTTTTGTTCTCCATATAAACTCTGTTAAAAAACTCTCTCGTAAGCGACGGCGACCACCTTTGGGGTTAAAATTTTGGAATTTTTCATTGTTTTTCCTCTCCCGTAAGCGACCACCCGAGAGAGCTAGTAATGGTGACAGATCCTTTAAATTTTTAAGGACATAGAGTCATTGGGTATTAAAAACCCGACGAAATATTGACAATTGCAGTACTGTAAACATATAGCACATTCAAAGTTTTGATTTAAACAATTTAATCGTTCATACAGTAGTTTTAACGCGTGAATTACAAATTATAAATGGTTTAGGCTTCCTGTGTTAGGATTCCCATTGTTTGGGCTTCCTGTGTTAGCTTTCTCGTAAGCGACCATCTCCCGTAAGCAACCACTGGCCCCGAGGTGGTCGCTTACGGGAGAKTCGACWGTATTAAAAAACAAAAGAAGATCACTGAAGCTGAACTTTTTCTTTTGTCTTTTAATGTATTCCTTTCTCACTAAATTACTAATGTTCTAATATCGTATATCAACGTTCTTACAAGTAGGTGTATATTAAAGAACAATTTTGCGGTTCAAACAAGAATATTAAAAAATTAATGAATTCTTTTAAAGCTGGACCATAAATCATCTGTCCTTAATGTCCACTTAACACATGGTTATTACACYATCAATAATTAATAGGTATTCTATACTTTTTCAAATTAAGGTCAAACTTGAGGTTATATTCATAACAATGAGTTATTATTGCAACGTCCAACCATCTAAACGCCATTAGCTCACCAAGAGTCTCCTGGTCGTGTATTCAATATTCTCTTTTCTACACAGGTTTAGTCTCGCTTAAAAACTAGGCCAATCATTTGCAGTTAGAAAACTGTTAAACATTATTGCGTTTCCCTCTACTTGAAATAAAGTTATATAGAGGATATTACATGGGCGCGCGGAGATACGAATTTTATCTTCGAGTGTTGAAAAGATCTCTCACAAGTGAGCGCAGCGAACGAGTGAGAGATTTTCAACACGAGAAGATAAAATTCCTATCTCCAAGCGGCCATGTAATATTCTACTTATTATATAATTATCAATGAAGTATGTTTTGGCTTCTTCGGGCAATTCTTTCCGTGTATTTTTGAATAGCCATCGCAATGGTGTTATCTTCACACGTGAAAATATCAATTTTTCGAAATAGAGAAAAATAGATGTTTCATTTGTAATTATATAATAAAATAATGTATTATATTATTGTACAAGTCGACTATAAAGTAAAGATTGTGCAGCTCAAACAATTCCAGTGTTTTGAAATCCCATGGACTCTTTAATGGCTCCTTCTTATATAAACAAGGCTAAATTAGCATGCGTAATTAAGAGTTTGCGGTCTTCAAAAACAGCCGTAAGCATCTGCGAATGCGAAACTAGTGTATTCCTAATCGGGACACGGATTTTTTCCCGAGTTTCCTTACTTTCRTTGTGATACACTGAATGATATAGCAGCGAAAGTATTCTACACCTTGGCATAACTATGATTTGACAMGGCATCTGCAGATGGAAATACGATATAATAAAGAATGTCTGTTTTGGAAAGATGGAAATGTAAAAGTAATATACGTTATAAAGGAAGTTGTTTGCGGACGCAAAGAGCGAGTCTAAAGCGAACGAGCACGGAATAAAATTCTAATTTGTGTAGGAGGCACAAAACGTTGTCTTTCACATTAACCACAATATATGCATTCGGATATTAACCACAATGCCGATAAAATGCAGTTGGTAATGAATAGCAATTTAA